TCAGAGCAGAGCCTCTGCCCAGTGCTATTACTAGACTAACTATGTCAAGGAGACCCAGGAAAACTTAGATACCAAGTAGTTAGTCCCATCAGTACATTCTTCAGAGGAAACTAGGAGCTGCCCAGCCCCTTGCCTGCACTGGGAGGTAACTGAGTGCCAGGCTGCTCTTTTTACCACTGAGCACGGGCTTTCTGCGAACATCTTTCCCCGAGTGGAACTGAGTAGGGCGCTTCACCACTAGGTAAGCAGAAAAATTTGCAAAGCTGTATTATTTGGAAATGATCAACATTAAGATCAGAAATTTCCTTGCCTAGAGAAGAAAAATTATTGTTATTTTGATATTATCCAAATATATTAAATTTTAGAGGACTTAAAAATAATGATATAGCCGGCGCCGCGGCTCACTAGGCTAATCCTCCGCCTAGCGGCGCCGGCACACCGGGTTCTAGTCCCGGTCGGGGCGCCGGATTCTGTCCCGGTTGCCCCTCTTCCAGGCCAGCCCTCTGCTGTGGCCAGGGAGTGCAGTGGAGGATGGCCCAGGTGCTTGGGCCCTGCACCCCATGGGAGACCAGGAAAAGCACCTGGCTCCTGGCTCCTGCCATCGGATCAGCGCGGTGCGCCGGCCGCAGCGCGCCAGCCGCGGCGGCCATTGGAGGGTGAACCAACGGCAAAAGGAAGACCTTTCTCTCTGTCTCTCTCTCTCACTGTCCACTCTACCTGTCAAATATAAAAAAGAGAATACGATATAAATATTTGCTTCATTTAAATCAGCACATAATTAATTCTACTAGATCACATTAGTTGCAGAGGAATTACCTGTGAGATTTTTTTTTCTAATTATTGGACTTTAACATCTAAGATGTGAGAGTTTTCTTCATTTTAAGAAACTAGAATTGGGGCAGATGCTGTGGTGCAGCGGGTTAACACCCTGGCCTGAAGCGCTGGCATCCCATAAGGGCGTCGGTTCGAGACCCAGCTGCTCCACTTCTGATCCAGCTCTCTGCTTTGCCCTGAGAAAGCAGTAGAAGATGGCCCAAGTCCTTGGGCCCCTGCACCCGCGTAGGAGACCCGGAGGAAGCTCCTGGCTCCTGGCTTCAGATCGGCACAGCTATGGCCATTGCAGCCATCTGGGCAGTGAACCAGTGATGGAAGACCTTTCTCTTTCTCTGCCTCTCCTTCTCTCTCTGTGTAACTCTGACTTTCAAATAAATAAATAAATAAATCTTTAAAAAAAAAAGAAACTAGAATTACAGCAAAATAAAACTAGAAGGAGAAAATTAATCAATAAAATCTAAAAGTAACAAAATTAGGAAAAGTAAATGAAAGGAAAAATAAGTCCAAAACCAATACTTTTAAATATGAGTGAAATAAATGAATCCGTTATGAACTGGAGTAAAACAAAAAGGAGAGAAACAGCATGCTAAATTATGCAAACTTAGAAATAGGAAAGGAAACATAATCACAGGCTATAGATGAAAACAGTAGAGCACATTACTACCTTTGGTAACAAGGAAACAAACTGAAAGGGATAAAGATTTTCTTGAAAAATACAAATTACTAAAATGACCTAAGAAGTAGTGAACCCTGAATATACCAAGCAACTTAAAAATAATGGAAAGGTAATTGAAGATTACTAGGTCAAGACAGTTCTTCCTAACATTTAAAGGACTGATAATTCTAATATTATCTAAACTATTCTAGACCATCCAATTTGACTGCTGTGTTATATAAGCGAGAAATCTGGACACCAAAACAGACAATAATGGAGACAAGACACCTTGAAGACACAGAAGAAGACACCCTTGTGAAGGCAGAGATACAGGCAGAATGCCATGGAAAGATGGAAGATGGGAGACAGGCGTGTGCAAACCAAACAACACCAACAACTGCCAGCCATCCGCCTGAAATTCAGAAGAGGCCAGGAAGAATCCTCCTGTACAGTTTCACACCAAGTGCAGGTCTGGTCTGCCAGCTGCTGACACTTTGATTTTGGAAGTTCAACCTCCAGAACTGTGAGATATTAAATTTCTGCTGTTTTTAAACTACCTAATTTGTGGTGCCTTTTTATAGCAGCCCTATCAAATGAATATAATGACTAAGAAGATTGATTCCAGGAATTCAAAGGTGGATCAATATCAGGAAATCTGTTAACCACAGTCTGTTACACATCAACAAATTAAAGGGCAAAACCCATATTATGTCATATATGCTGAAAAGACATCTTATAAAAACGATTGGCAACTCTTAATAAAAAACTCTGTGTAGGAATAGAAAGATATAATAAAGACTATAAATCAAGAACAATATTACACTAAGCAACAAAACTCTAAAATCATGTCATCTGAAATCAGGAACTGGAAAATTTGCTAGCAATCACTATTATTGGTTAATAATTTCATGAAAGTTTTAGCAAATGTAATATGACAAAAAATAACCAATATGAATAGTGGAAATGAAGATATATTTTTATTGAGATGATTATAAATCTCAAAAAAACCCCAAGAAACCTCTACAAAAAACCTACCAGAATTAGTAAGATAATTTGGATTTTTTAATATTACTATAAGTTCCTAGATATGGAGAAAAGAAAATATTCCATCTGTAATAATGATGAGAATAGTAAAAAACCTGAAAATAAGTTTCAAAAGAAAGGGCATAGAATATATACAAAGAAAATTATAAGATCTTACTGAAAGACATAAAATATGAAGAAATGGAAAGTCATGTCATATTCTTGTATGAGAAAATTTATTGTAATAAAAATGCCAAATCTTTCAAAGTTAATATATACATTTAATTAAATTCCAAATAGAATCCAACAAGAAGTTATCAGGAGGAACTGGATAGCATTGAGCTTAATGTTCATATAAAAATTTAAATGGGGTTTCTATTTTAAATTACATGCAAAACTAGAATTCAAAAGGATTATAGGCTTAAATAAAAATTATAAAAGTATTTGAAAATTCTTAGAGGCCACACATACATCTAGAAATTGGGAAAACTCGTTGAAGCCACAAGGTAAACATATTTGGAAAACAAAATTTAAATCTTTTTGTGTGTGGCAAATTAATCATAAAGTTATAAACACCAGATTTAGAAAAGTACTTTTATAAATTGACAAGAAAATACAAATTATATTACATGACTGTGTTTTTTCTTAGGAAATTAGGAAAGATTAAATGATGCTTACTGACATTATATATATGGTCAAAAGGCAGTTTTATATATTATATATATAGTCATTATATCTAATATAACATATTAGATATTAGATATGTAGTCAAAAGGCAGTTTTGGGATGATGTATATAGTATCCATTTATTTCTGTAAAAGAACACCCAACTAATCCTCTTGTGATGTGTGCATGAGCAAGGCAAAAGTTACAGAGTGCTGCAAACTACCATGTGAGCACTGGATATCTCTGGAATCCAAACCAGGTATGCGGGTAGGGATGTGGCCAATTCATTTCTTTTTGATACATCTTTGTAGGTTTTATAGTTCTTGAAACACCAAAAACAAATAAGCAAAGCCTGCAGGAGCCAGAGTGAAGCAGGCTCAGCGGGGATTATGGTGACCCAGGACATATACCTAAAAACATCCAGACTGAAATGAAAACAAACAAAAAATCATTGTGTGAGCAAAAAGGACTCAGGTCAGGAGGCAGGGGACAGGATCTGATTAGGTTTTTGTGTGTCTGGTGTTTAGCAATGAGTCTTAGGTCGTGTGAATTTTCTTTAAAAGATTGGGAACAATCTTTTACATGAGATTACATGCTTTATTTTTTATCCATCTGTACTGCAATCACAGAACCAGAAGCCTAAACAAGAAGGAAGGTGCTTTTACTCTTTTGATGCCAGAATAATGAAGACTGTGAGAACAAGCACATAATATCACAGAAATATGGGATCATGGGGCCATGGAGAATGGTTGAAGATACTAAGGCAAAGTTAAACAATTACAATATGCATCTCTCTCTCTCTCTTTTTTTTTTTTTTGACAGGCAGAGTGGACAATGAGAGACAGAGAGAAAGGTCTTCCTTTTCCATTGGTTCACCCCCTAATGGCCACTGCGGCCAGAGCACTGTGCTGATCCGAAGCCAGGAGCCAGGTGCTTTCCTGGTCTCCCATGCGGGTGCAGGGCCCAAGCACTTGGGCCATCCTCCACTGCACTCTCGGGCCATAGCAGAGAGCTGGCCTGGAAGAGAGGCAACCGGGACAGAATCTGGCGCCCCGACCGGGACTAGAACCCGGTGTGCCGGCGCTGCAGGTGGAGGATTAGCCTATTGAGCCGCGGGGCCGGCCAATATGCATCTTTTATACTCTCTAATCCTCAGATGGTAGAAAAATTATTTTAGAATTTGCTCTCCAAGCAAATAAATAATAAGTGACAATGATATTTCATTATTTCAATAAAAATTCTCATATAAAATCAACTATTACATTAAATAATTGAAATGAGAAGCATCATGCATGGTTAAGTTGCCTTGTGTGGATATGGAGAGCCATTGGTTAAAACCAGGAGCTCTTACCTTTTTCTAGTCAGCAGCACGCACTGAATGTTTACTCGACATGTGACGTCGTAAGGTGCTAGTAATACAACCACTACTAAGAGAAGATCCCTGCTTGCCACCCAGCGGGAAGTGACAAGCTACAGAACAAGGCAGATGGGAAAACAAACCACGTGTGGATGGAACCATTCGTTTTGACAGGGGCTGGAAGGCTGACACTTGCATCTTGCCGGGTAGGATGTAGGATTTCAAGGCAACATCAAAGGCAAAAGCAAGGAAATTGCCTGCTTGGGAATGATCAAAATTGAGCCCAATCCAAGAAAAGGACAGGAGAAAAAACTAGAAATTTAAACGTTCAGCCTAAAGATGAAAGTAAATTCAACTGAATTGCAAAACAATCTGCTAGCCTAACTCCTGCATGCTGGGTGATGTCTGGGTAAATCCTGGCCAACCCATCTCTGTTCAAGTTACTGAATGGATTCAGTGTATTACCAGGTACCGTGCAGGGTCTAAATCTCCCATCATTCCTTTCAGATGTGTGTTTTCGGTTCTGACAGCTTTATATCTCATATCTGAGACCTGAAAGATTAGCAGATAAAAGGTAAATGTAAAATTCATATAAAAAGACTCAAAATTTGTTAAAAACTGGATTTTGTGAATACAGAATTTTGTAAGAGAGGGGAATGGAAACATTTCTTCCTAGGTTTTGATCATTACCAGTCAGGTTTTTCTGATGCAGTTCTCTGCTTACCAAGGACCCACTGGGCCTTCCTTTTTTGATCAACACTAAATTAAAAATAGATGCTTATAATCATGATTCATTACTTTTTTCCTTCCAATTCCAAAATTCTGTTCCTCATTCTGTTTTCTATTGTATACAAATTATCACCAGAATATCACAATTTTTAAAAACATGCTTATACAGCATCATCCATTAATTTTCAACACCTGATTGTTTTACAAAATGCAACATGATTTTCATGTTTAATTTTGTTCTTTCTCATATTCTTTCAAATTTCCATTTTTTGGTGACTATTTCATTCTGTCTCCTAATATATCTTTTGTTTCCTTCATTTCTTCTACTTGACAATACTTAGATATAGTATGTGTCCTTTTATTGATGTAAGACTTATTTATACATAGAACACTTGCCTTAAAAGTTATTTTTTGTAAATTATGAAACATATGCTTATTGACAAACCAAGAAAATACAAAGTTGCATAAAAGAAAATATAAAAAGCATTCCTCATCCAGCTACCCAGATCACTGCTAATGCTTGTGAAATATCCGTCCCTACGTAGGCCCAACCAGTACCATTATCCTACACTGTGCTGTCTTCCTGCATATTGAGTTAAGACTCATGCTTGGGCAAAGGCAGAACCTCTTCTGTTTCTGTAACTCACAGGATTTAAATAGTGGTGCTGTTTGTGAAATAACCCTCTTATGCCTAGAAGGTTACTGAAGCCTCAATAAATGTTTTTCTGCTCTCAAACATCTACTAGGTTGTGGTAAAAGGGCAGATAATTTCTGTGTTCTCTATGGCTGCCAGTTTGATAATGAGTAAGACACTGAGGGAATTTAAAAAATAAACCAGAAGGCCAGAAAGATGGAAGCAGGGAGGGAGGGAAGGAGAGGGGGAGGAGGAGGAAGGTGAAGTAACTTGCAGTGTTCTAACAGTAGAATGTGACTCTTGCTATTTTTCCTTTTGCACCATACTGTGCACTGGGTGAATGTACGGTAAATATGAAGTGATTTTCATGTTTCCACATTCATTTTTTAAAAGCCTAAAAGAAATGCATGAAACGTGGAGCTGGGTGGGAAACAGCCAGAAGAATATGGAATTGGAGTTTTCTTTTTTAAGATAAAAATATTAATGGAAGGCAATTACAGAAAAAGAACTGAAGGAAAAAAAATCTTTGATTAGAGCACAGGTAGGAGGTGGTTAGAGGTTACAGGAAAATGTTTTGATGAGGTTTTATGAGAAAATCACGGTGCTGTCACTCACTCCTCTCTGTGTTTTGATGACACTTTGCATTATCTCACAGAGGCTTTGTGTGCTTCCACAAGGCAGTCCTATGTGATGCTAGTCTCAGAAGTAACACTGAGCAATGCCATGCTTTTATTAGTAAATAATGAAGACTGCCAGTGGGTGTTGTGGCACAGCAGCAGGTTAAGATGCTGCGTGGGATGCCTGTATCCCATAGCAAAGTGCCTGGTTGGAGTTTGGCACTTCTGCTTCCAATCTAGCTTCCTGCTAATGCATCCTCGGAGGCAGAAGTTGTGGCTCAAGGACTGGGGAAGCTGCCACCTATGTGGGAGACCCGAATGGAGTTCTGGGATCCTGGCTTCAGTCTGACCCAGCAAATGGAAGTTCTCTCTCTCTCTCTCTCTCTCTCTCCTCCTCCTCCCCCCCCACCCCTCCCTCTCTTTCCCTCTCCCTCTCTCTCCCCCATCTCTTTCTCTCTCTCTGCCTTTCAAGTAGATGAAAATAAATAACTAAGCATTTAAAAAAATAAGGCTGCTTTGGCACTGAGGAAGAGGTGCTGTTCTGGCTGCTTGCATACCTGTTGTTTTGCTAACATTTTTTCTTTTATTTCCAATTCCATTTTTAACTGTCTTTCCAGAAGGGCAGCTTTCTTCATGACAGTTGCTATAGTGATCTCCTTCTGATGGAGCTCCTCTGTTAGGTCGGAGATTTCATTCCTCATTCTTTCCTGCTCAGAACTATGGTACTCTTCCTCCTGGTAGAGCTGGCTTCTTATCTATGGCAGATAGAAACCAGAAAGTAAGAAAAAATCCTTTGCTTATAGAGCAGCTTAATGCTTTTATTGGCCACATTCAGTCCTCCTGTCCTAAAACTTTGGCAGGCCCCACTGTGCCCTCCTTTTCTGGTCAATGCTAAATAAAGGGATGCTTACAATAATGATTCACTTAACTGTTTTTCCTTCCAATTCTAAAATTCCATGTCTCACTCCCGTTGTCTACTGTGTGGAAGTCATCACCTAGTACTGATACTACTTTGATAACCACTTTGACAGAAAGGTGAGGAAAATATTATTAAGCACTTACTATGGAGAAAAAATTAACTTAAGATTTTAAGGAACTCACTCGACGTTATAAAGCTAATAATTAGCAGAGACGGGACCAGACCCTTTGGCTCTTGGCTTTACATTCAGTGCCGTATTTTTGGACTGAATTATGCAGAGCTGCTTGTGAGTAAACTCTATGCTTTTCAGAACCATGTTATTATAAACTTCAAACCAGAAGTGTCTGTGAAAATTATCACTGCCTCCCCGCAAGCCTGTGGAGTTGCTTACATTATTGATCTTGGCTATACCTCCCATGTTAGGAGCCTCGACAGCATCTTGAGCTCCTCTCCACTCTTGTGCTTCCAAATCCAGTCAGGCATATGGTCCATTCTGTTTCTTATTTTATTTTAAACTTTTATTTAATAAATATAGCTTTCAAAAGTACAACTTTTGGAGTATAGTGGTTCTTCCCCCCATAACCACCCTCCCACCCGCAAACCATCCCATCTCCTACTCCCTCTCTCATCCTGTTCTTCAATAAGATTCATTTTTAATTATCTTTATATACAGAAGATCAACTCTATACTAAGTAAAGATTTCAACAGATTGCACCCTCACAGACACACAAAATGTAAAGTACTGTTTGAATACTAGTTTTACCGTTAATTCTCATAGTACAACACATTAAGGACAGATATCCTACATGGGGAGTAAGTGCACAGGTGTTGTTGTTTCAACAATTGACACTCTTATTTATGTTTCAACCCCTCTCGGGTCTCATCTCTGCTTTCCATTTTTAGTCCTACTGGCTTGGTCCAGCTGCTTAGCATCTTTCTAGAAAACCACTCATGGCTTCTAATTCTTGAGATTCAGAGATCAAGTACAGACTCAAAGATCTCCAAACAATCACAGTCCATTGGGGAAAACACAAACATAAGCAGACTATTGCGGCACAGGGCAGCCATGGATGTTAGCAGTATATAGTAGCGGGTTCAGCCATTGAGGTTAGTGATATATAGTGGCAGGTGGTTAACCCAGCCTGGAGATACCAAGACAGGATTCTCATAGGGTCGTCAGCCCAAACAGTGAAGGATGACTGGAAGACAGGCAGAATTCAGAGCTGGAGAAGGCTGCCAGGCAAAGATGCAGTGAAGGCATGAGTAAGAGCAATGCCCTTGTGAGCCAAAAGGAGTTTGAAGTGGCTGGTGCTTAGCAAGTTATGAAAAATAAGGCTGGAGAGGCTGTGTGGAGGCCATCCACAGAGAGATTTAGAGGAGTTTATTCCAGGGCACTTACTTTTAAAACTGAGTTTTTTTCATCTTTTTTTTTTTTTTTTTTTTTTTTTTTTTTGACAGGCAGAGTGGACAGTGAGAGAGAGAGACAGAGAGAAAGGTCTTCCTTTGCTGTTGGTTCACCCTCCAATAGCCGCCGCGGCTGGTGCGCTGCGGCCAGCGCACCGCGCTGATCCGAAGCCAGGAGCCAGGTACTTATCCTGGTCTCCCATGGGGTGCAGGGCCCAAGTACTTGGGCCATCCTCCACTGCACTCCCGGGCCACAGCAGAGAGCTGGCCTGGAAGAGGGGCAACTGGGACAGAATCCGGCGCCCCGACCAGGACTAGAACCCGGTGTGCCGGCACCGCAAGGCGGAGGATTAGCCTACTGAGCCGCAGCACCGGCCGTCATCTTATCTTTAAACATTTTAGTATATATATATCTTTAAAAGAATAAGAGCTTGCTCCCTGTCTTTTTGACATGGCTGGAATGCCATTATAATGTCTTTAACAGTTCTTCCACATCATCAACTCTCTGGGCAGTAATGAATGCTCTTTTAGTTTTTTTTAAGTGAATTAGGATCAAAATATGGTCCACTACTTGAGACTGACTCATGTATCTTTTTAAAGCCTCTCTCTCTGTGTTTGTGTGTTCTAAGTACTAGACATAAATCATCTTATTTGATACCCGTACTATCTCTCTATCTAGCAAATTAGAAACTTCAGATACATCACTTTTCAGAGTCCTATTCCTGGAGAAAGTGACCTGACCTGTTGCACTCCCCAATTTCTTGTAGGCAGGCACACAGGAAAGAGCTGGGTGTGGGCAGATGATGCCTAAAGCAGGTTTGGACAGAACACAGGTATAGAGGCCAAATTCATACATCTCCAGCCTTTATGGCACACCCTGTCATCTGACTCTATTCTTACTACTAACATCATTAGAATTTCACAATTGGGCAGTGTCTTAGAAATCACATGGTCTAATCCCATCATTTAACAAATTGAACAAGGAAGAGAACTGACTGGGCTGGAGTCGTCCAACTCTTAAAAGCAAAGGCAAAGACTAGGAGAGTGCCGCAAAATTATCCCAGCCTGGGGACAATGTCACAGGTGTCTTCTGTCTCTGGGTTTTCCCCTTACCATTGATTTGATGAAACAACAGCACAGTCCTGCAATTTGTTCCAGGCTGCATTTATTGATTGCATTTCAGTGGCTTAGTTTAGCATGTTCCTCTTAGAATGGAACTTTTGAAATGTAAAAAAAAGGGAATACAATCTTGTGAAAACGGAGCAAACTTTTATATTATTTTCACAATGTTTAGATAGTAAAACAATGTGCTGTACTACAATGAGATTGATTTGCTTGAGTTCTAGATGATTTTGGCTTTATTAAAAATGTGAATCTTATTACAAAATGACTAAAAATAGTTCTATAATAAAAAAAGAGAAAAAACAGTTGCAAGATTCATAAACATGCCTCTTGTTGTTTTCAGTATAAGAGAGTGAAATTGCTCCCCAGGAACACATCCTGGAAGGGATAGCTATTTAGCTATGATTCATTTGTTACCTTTTCTGCACAGCACTGTACAATCTAGTGGTCTCTCAGACCCTATAAAGATATTTGTGTCTCATGGTCTCTCTCTCTCTCTCCATGTCAAAACTGTCTGAAATCAGTAGGTTCCTTCTTTTAAAAAGCTTTATTATTCTATCTAAATCCATGAGGTTAAGAATGGTGTAACTATATTTTAGGTGACTTTAATCAATCTTTTATTATATTGTGTGCTCTGGAAACACCAGAACAGGTTTTCATTCAATCAATAAAACCATTTTCATGGGATGTGGTATTAAAGTGTTTACAATATAAGGAAAATAGACATTGATTCGTTAACACCTATTAGCTGTCTGATAGTCAACTCTTTGGAAGAAAGGTTCTTTTTTTCACACCATTGTATTTCCTACAGAAATTAGAATAGCTATGTTAGTCCTACCAGATTCTCAAAAAATATTTGTTGAATTAATACAACCAATAACTGAAAATATGGCTATGTACATTTATGGGGTAACTTAGCCCCATATTAATTAATTCATTCTCTATTTGTTTTCATTTACTGTGTGTCAAGTACTATGCAGGGCTCTAGTTCGTAATTCATAGTCATGCCAAGGTTTGTGTAATTTTTAGCAATTGTTTATGTTTATAGCATCAAATAGTCTCTCTGATCCTTAAACCTAAAGACCAGAGAGATGGAAAGCAGCTGTGATAAACTCATGGCCAGAAAGCCACTCCTGGATCTTCCTAGAGGGAGACCTGAGACCCAAAGTCTCTTCAAGGATAGTGCCTAGCTCTTCCTCATGCCAGTATTCCTAGCTCCTGGGAGGCGGCTTGGCACATGTCAGGAGCTAATGAAAAAAAATGTAGGTGTAACCAATAACAACAGCAACCAACAATGAAACAGTCCTTACTTGTGGCCAGGCCCTATTCCATGCCTGTTACATGTGTCATCTCAGTTATTCTAAGGGTATAAGACTGCTTAGATTCAGATCTGGCCTCTGCCACTTACTAGCTGTGAGTGTTGGGAGAAGTTACTTAAGTTGTTTGTGCCTTAGATTTCTCAAATGTTAAAATAGGATGTTAGGACTCACTGTATAAAATGGTTGTGAGGAATGAATGAACTGGCACATGGCAAGAACAATTCGAGTCGCAGCGTTACTGGCTCACTTAGCCCTCGCCGCATCCTCAGAGCTCTGGAGTCTGCTCTTGACGTTCTTGATACAAGTGGCTTCTTGCAAGAGCCACCAGCCCTCCATGTTTCATGGGCAGCCTTGCCAGTGGCAGACTAAGGCTTGTGTTCGCACAGAACAATGCTAGAATTCTCAGCTTGGGAGATTATTATTTTAGGAAAAAATATAGGAAGAAAAAGACTAGAATGGGAAGGGAGATTGTTTACCTATTTATAGGCAAAGATTTCATATGTGCCTAGAAGAATGGAGCTCATTATTTTCCATACCTTGTTTAATTCTTTTTCATGATTTGATTGATCTGGGGCCACTGAAAACAGCTCTTTCCTTTTCCTTTCTGGTTCTTTAATAGAAGGTGAATAAGATGATTCGAGTCTACAAATTAAAAACAAAATGAGTAGAAATTAATTTTAATTTGCTAAGTTGTTATGAGTATATTGTTAATTTAGACCATTGCAGGCCTCAGAAGCAGATCATTACTTTATTAAAAACATTGCTGGTTACAGAAATTGCAAGTCCTGATACATTCAGATCCCACAAGCATTTACATCTTTCACTGAATGTAGTAAATGGTTTTAATGGGGGAAAAAGTTAACAGTTAATATGGATTTTCAGTTATACACTAGAAATTGGCAGAATACTGCAATTGAATGTAGATAAGATTTTTGGATAAGGCCAGTTTCTATAATAGCTAGGGAACCCATTTTAAAAAAGGAAGCACACCCGACTTGCTAATGTGCTGTAGAAAATAACTATGTCATGAGCATTCTGAGGGGAACAACTTCATAAAGGTGATCAGAAGTGATTACATCTGACAGGCTAAGCAGAGAGAGCTCAAACACATCTATTCTTTGCCTGCTCAATTTATAAAATGGAATTGCAACCACATATTAATTCTAGAGAGAAAGCACAAACTAGTGTAAGAAAGTATGATTCCCACAGGAAGCATGGGAAAGTAAAAGCAGGCAACTTCACTTCCATCTGAGGCAAACTGGTAGAATAAAAGTCACGGACACTCCAGAATAAAGACAGGCAGATAGGAAATGTGGCACACTTCCCTTCAGAAGCCGGGCCTGGCTCTCTGGTGGAGACTGGTGTCTTGAGGACTATTCTTGCAAGTGAATACAATTTTAGATTTCCAAAGAACTTTTGAAAAGGTTCCACACATGAAAAACATAAAGCACACAAATAAAACAAAAAAACCAAAACCCAAATAATGATGGAACAGTAACTACTTTAAAGATTGAAAATAGCCGGTGCCATGGCTCACTAGGCTAATCCTCCGCCTTGCGGCGCCGGCACACGAGGTTCTAGTCCCGATCAGGGCTCCGGATTCTGTCCCGGTTGCTCCTCTTCCAGGCCAGCTCTCTGCTGTGGCCGGGAGTGCAGTGGAGGATGGCCCAAGTGCTTGGGCCCTGCACCCCATGGGAGACCAGGATAAGTACCTGGCTCCTGCCTTGGGATCAGCGCGGTGTGGTGGCTGCAGCGAGCTGGCCGCGGCGGCCATTGGAGGGTGAACCAACGGCAAAGGAAGACCTTTCTCTCTGTCTCTCTCTCTCTCTCACTGTCCACTCTGCCTGTCAAAAAAAAAAAAAAAAGATTGAAAATAGTTGGCCGGTCGGGGTGCCGGATTCTGTCCGGGTTGCTCCTCTTCCAGTCCAGCTCTCTGCTGTGGCCCGGGAGGGCAGTGGAGGATGGCCCAAGTGCTTGGGTCCTGCACCCGCATGGGGGACCAGGAAAAGCACCTGGTTCCTGGCTTCAGATCAGCGCGGTGCGCCGGCTGTAGCGCCATTTGGGGAGTGAACCAATGGAAGGAAGACCTTTCTCTCTCTCTCTCTCTCTCACTAACTCTGCCTGTCCAAAAAAAAAAAAAAAAAAGATTGCAAATAGTTTCCTTCAAAAGGTGCATATTGATAGTGATGTCACGTGTCTAGGTTAGATTGTTTCCTTCTGATTGTCAAATATATATAACTGTGGGCAGTAGAGTATTGCGGAATGCAATGTGTCACTATAGTATTATCAACCAGGAAAAACCATCTTTAGCATTTTTCTGTATATTTTCTTTCCCTAGGCAGGGTCTTCAAAAAATTCATGGAAAATGTGGATTTATGAGAAAACTATGGAGGCCTTCAACTTTTTCACATCTAAATAAACATCTAAATTCCATTTTCTATGTACTTTTTCAAGAATCCTCTTTGTGCATAAATAAATAGCCATTTCCTATAAAGTCAAAATAAACCATATACATTATTTTTCAGTTTCCTTTTGTTTCCCAACATATTTTACCCAATATTCTCCTAAATTGTTGTTTCAGGATTGGATTTAATTTTTTCTTATTTGCTATGATTTGGAAGCAGTAAAAAATGAAATTCATTATTTTCAAATTCTTCCTAAGCAATTATAGAGAGTGGAATGCTGAACTGACTGCAAAACACCTAATGGTGAACTTGAAAAGTTTTGTTCATGAAGGTAACAAATATCAAACTCCAGTGTGGACAACTGCAAAAAACAAAGCAATAATTATGCTAAGATAAATCAATAAAGGAGCTAGAATTTTTCGTGTAGGAAAATGTTGGAAATATTTTTAATAACTCAGAACCCATCAGTCCAAAATGCTTCTACATCCAAAAGTAAAAAAGGCTAACAATATCTCATTATTAAGAAAGTTTTGAAAATGAATAAAGTGATTAATACTTCTATAAAATTATTGTTTGTCTACTCCCAGTAGTACGGGCTGCTTCTCCTTAATACAATCACAAAGAAATGGAGTCTGAGTAAAAGAAACCAAAACAATGACGCAGAATAGCATTCATAGTGAGAACAGATTAAAAGGCTTCAAAATTTTCAGTGGGGAAGATGAATCCTGAGACGTCTATAACACAAGGAAACTGAAAAGTTAAATACAATACCTTTTCATCAAATCTCAGAATACCAGAACTGGCAGAAACCCTCCAAATGAGAAAGAGGTAGTTTGGAGACGAAAAAAATACCTAATTACATAGAGGATGGCAAACAGGCAAAGCAGAATGTTTGTACTGCCTAAACATACAAGTGCAGGACTTTATAGAGCAAATCGGGAATTGAAGAAAGATTGGCACTGTTTGGAATTCAGCAATGGCCTTGTAAGAGCCAGAGAAAGTACGCATAATGCTCTTCACAAAACTAAAGCTAGACACAGGTTAAACAGTGTGCTCTCCTCTGAAATTTCTTATGTTTTTAAGCATATAGTCATACATTTCTCTCAAGTTCACCACAGTGGAATAGCACCTTAGACATAATAGATACCCAACAGATTTATTAATGATCAGTGATGATGATCCTTAGCTTGTATATTGAGCACTCATTGTTGACTGACTAAAAAGCAATCTGCCATTGTTGGTGAGGCAAATGATAGGTCATTTCAAGGGATTTTGACTTGCCATTTGTTGTTAAGTGTAGAACTTCAAACAAAAAATATTAGGTCCCACAACTTCAAAGAAATAATTAATGCCTTTAAAACAATGTAATCTTTCATTAAAATATTCTTCACTGTATGGCTATTCAGTTATTAAGATCCTATCATTAGTGTGGCATTAGCTTTCTGGTTTTGAGAAAGATTTGTGTTTCAATGAGAATAAGAACATCAGTGAATGGCTAACACAGTTAAACTGTCTGCTCATAAGCATATACATTCAATAATCCTCAGCAGTCCCATTTTCTTTGTAGTTACAGAGTACATGATATCTGATTCTAAAAGAGGAGAAAAGTATATTTTAACATAAACCCTTTTAAAAAAAAAGATTTATTTATTTTTATTTGAAAGTCAGAGTTACACAGAGAGCGGAGAGGCAGAGAGAGAGAGAGAGAGAGAGAGAGAGAGAGGTCTTCCAACCGATGGTTCACTCCCCAGTTGGCCTCAATGGCTGGAGCTATGCCAATCCGAAGCCAGGAGCCAGGAGCTTCTTCTAGGTCTCCCACGTGGGCGCAGGGGCCAAAGGACTTGGGCCATCTTCTACTTCTTTCCCAGGCCATAGCAGAGAGCTGGATGGGAAGTGGAGCAGCCAGGTCTTGAACCGGCACCCACAAGGGATGCTGGCGCTTCAGGCCAGGGTGTTAACCCGCTGCGCTACAGCGCCAGCCCCTTAACATAAACCCTTAATGTAACTTGCAAAATGGTGACTGTGAAGGCCAAGGTAAATACAATTTTATTTTTAATATTTAATATCTAGTAATTAACAGCATGTCAATACAAAGTAGACTTTTATACACGTTTTTAATCTAAAACCCTTAAGATCATTCAAGCATTACGTTTTGAACAGTTTTTCTCAGACTGTCAAATATAAGACAATACCTTTTCTTATTTTCTTGAGTGTTTTGGTTCTCTCCGACTTTTAACAATTCTCTGTGTAACTGCAATCGTTCCATTTCTATAATTCGCAAGAGATCATCACGTGACTGCAACTCACTTTTCACCTCTGAGAGTCCTGCTTCCATGACCTAAAAAAAAAATCAAAGCCTTTCAATGTTCATTTTCTGATATCCTGATATACAATAAACTTAAAACTAACACTAATGAACCAGCCTAATATTAAATGAACTGATATTTAGTTATTTACTTCCTCTGTTTTATAGAATTCCATTCCTTCATTTTTTAACAAATATACTTGTATTTTCTGAACTTTAATTATGTGCTCTGAGGATATGGTCACAGACCCTGTCCTTAGTGATAAGGACAAGGAATAATCAAATGATCACACAGCCATGGCCATATTGTATGTAAACTTAAAAGACTGGAATATGAAAGTGTGAATAAGGTACAATGCATTAGCAGACACTAGTCTTGTTTATGTGATCCCTTTGACTCTTAATCCTATCATTATGATCAATTATGAACTGAAACTGATCACTTTGACTAGTGAGATGGCATTGGTACATGCCACCTTGATGGGATTGAATTGGAATCCCCTGGCACATTTCTAACTATACCATTAGGGGTAAGTCCGATTGAGCATGTGCTGAAGTGTACATCTCCTCCGTCTCTTATTCCCACTCTTATATTTAACAGAGATCACTTTTCAGTTAAATTTAAACACCTAAGAATAATTGTGTGTTAATTAAAGAGTTCAACCAATAGTATTAAGTAGAACAAGGCTGGTGCCGTGGCTCACTAGGCTAATCCTCCGCCTTCAGCGCCAGTACTCCAGGTTCTAGTCCTGATTGGGGCGCCGGATTCTGTCCCCATTGCTCCTCTTCCAGTCCAGCTCTCTGCTATGGCCCAGGAAGGCAGTGGAGGATGGTTCAATTGCTTGGGCCCTGCACCCGCATGGGAGACCAGGAGGAAGTACCTGGCTCCTGGCACTGCGCCGGCCGTAGCGGCCGAAGTACTAGTGTCTGCTAATACTAACTGACAGAATTAAAAAGGAGAGAATGATCCAACATGGGAAGTGGGATACAGAGCAGACTCATAGAATGACAGATGTCCTAAACAGCACTCTGGCCTCAGAATCAGCCCTTAAGGCATTTAGATCTGGCTAAAAAGCCCATGAGAGTATTTCAGACATGGAAAGCCAAGACACTGTGGCAAAAAAAAAAAAAAAAAAAAAAAAAACAACCAAAAAACACCTAAATAAAACCTCTCTGAGAGTGAGATCCCAGAGGAAAGACGGGGTCATCAAAGAAGGAGGTACTTTTCTCTGAAGGGAGGAGAGAACTTCCACTTTGACTATGGCCTTGTCTAAATAAGATCGGAGTTGTCGAACTCAAGAGGCTTCCATAGCCTTGGCAACTCATGACAAGAGCCTAGGGTGATTACTGACGCCATAAACAAGAGTGTCAATTGTTAAATCAACAACAGGAGTCACTGTGCACTTACTCCCCATGTAGGATCTCTGTCCTTAATGTGTTGTACTATGTGAATTGACGGTATAACTAGTACTCAAACAGTATTTTATACTTTGTGTTTCTGTGTGGGTGCAGTCTGTTGAAATCTTTACTTAGTTTATACTAAATTGATCTTCTGTATATAAAGATAATCGAAAATAAATCTTGATGTGAAAGGGATGGGAGAGGGAGTAGGAGATGGGATGGTTGCGGGTGGGAGGGAGGTTATGGGGGGGAAAAGCTGCAAAAATCCAAAAGTTGTACTTTGGAAATTTATATTTATTAAATAAAAGTTAAAAAAAGAAATAAATAAATTTTAAAAATTAAAAAAATAAAATTCAAATTATTCCCATTCAAAAAAAAAGTGCAATGCATAAGATTAAATACACATACTTCTCAATTAGGAAAGATAATAACTGAGAGTAATCTAAAGGCAAAGCTGGCCAAGAAAATGAATTATTATCCATGATTCTACTCTTGCCTGGTGGTAGCCATACTTTAATCATTAACTAGGAATACCAGCAACCCTGTGGGTCCAGTGTTTTATTTTGTTAACAGGGGAGACCTGTGCAAGTCTAGAAGTCATTGGGAAGGATCCTGTTAGGAGAGAAAAGTGGGTAATGGTAATGGTGTCAGGTCCTGAGAAAGTGAGTGGAATGGGCCCAAAGCATAACCAGAGCTAGCTGCCTAAAGCAAAAGAGAATCCTTCCTGTCTTGCAACAAGGAGGAAGGAAGATGGACTGGAGACTCGTTTATTCTTCCAATATGGGGAGATTCAGAGACTGGAGGGCTGTTGTCTTCTGCGAGCATTTTCTTTGTGTGAAGTCAAATACTGTATCACATGCTGAGAGGGTAAGGGCAGGTGGAAGTCACCTATAACAGTAATTTTTGAGCATGAACAAGATTGAAATGTCTACAATGTGAATAGGAGAGTTGGCTGATTGGAAAAACACATTCATTGCTGTGCAGTGTCATGTTCCCATTGGAAGTTTGTGGCTATGGCCTGCTGAGTAATTTTCTCCAGTAGATTTTGCCATTACCAAGAGAGTACAAATGCAGTCATGCAATATGTGCCTTTTTTGACTGATTTCTTTCATTTAGCAAAGTTCTTTTAATGTTCATCCATGTTATACCACGTATTGATGGTTTACTCTTGTTTCCAGCTGGATAATATTCTATTACACGGATATGACTCATTTTGCTTGTCTGTTCATCAGTTGATGGACATTTGGGTTGTTTCTACTTTTAGATATTATGAATAATGCTTCTATAAAAATGTACACGTTTTTATAATAAATGCACATGTTTTCATTTATTGAATTATGTGGGTGGCATAGAATTGAGTTCACAGATTTAAAAACAAAACAATTTTCTTAATCAAAGCCTCAAATATATACTGTTTTCTAGGTGACCTAGACACCTAGATGCAGTGAAGACTAAGGGCAATACTTTGGCGCTAGAAGTTCCTGGATGGCTGAGAAGTAAGTATAAGAACAGATTCAAATTGGTGATTTACGACATGTTTGGATAAAGACTTGCTGGGAGAGTTAGGAGAGTGCCTCTGTTTTCAACAGTGAGGATTTTCTAGATGTTGATAAAAAGCTCAAACATAATGTTTTTTTTTTTATAAAAGATTTATTTATTTATTTAAAAGGCAGAGTTACAGAGAGGCAGAGTTACAGAGAGGCAGAGGCAGAGAGAGAGAGAGAGAGAGAGAGAGAGAGAGAGAGAAAGAAAGGTCTTCCATTCGCTATTTCACTCCCCAAATGGCAGCAATGGCTGGAGCTGGGCTAAGTCGAAGCCAGGAGCCAAAAGCTTCTTCCAGATCTCCCACGTGGGTGCAGGGGCCCAAGGACTTGGGCCATCTTCTACTGCTTCCCCAGGCCTTAGCAGAGAGCTGGATCGGATATGGAGCAGCCAAGACTCAAACCAGCACCCATATGGGATGACGGCACTGCAGGCAGTGGTCTTACCCGCTATGCCACAGTGCCAGCCCCCTAAAATAATGTTTAACAGTAGATTGCACATAGAAAAATTAACTTAATGTGAATGTCATACATTACTTTGCTCAACTGAAAAAGGTGATATCTGGGCTTTGCAAATTTGCTACCAGGGAACACTCAAGCATGAAGCTGTCTTTGCTGGGGAAGCAGGTTCTAACTCCAAGCCAGTGACATACTGTGTCACCATGGGCCAGAGTTAGCTGAAACTCTGAAAAAATCAGATAATTATAGTCTGTTTTTTTTTTACTGTTATTAGAAAATAATATCTATGAGTGACATTTAAAGACATCACTGAGATAGGAAAGAAGTGAAACAGGTATAAGAAATATATTAATATTAAAATGTTCATATTATAAATCGGTAATTGACAGGTAAATTAATGTGCAAAAGATTTTAATTATAATTGGTATTATATAAATTGGCTTAAAAGTATAAGAAACGTTCAAAAGATCTGTTGATACTGATAAATTTAGAATTGTTTTTTAACTTTGAATTTGAGTTGATATAAGAATTAGTATATTTATTTAACTAAGATGTAGTTTTGAAATTGGCATGGTTTTGCATGAAAGTTAAATTATTTGCCATTGTGTGCCAACTTCAGGAAGATGATTCTTTACTATTTGGTTCAATTACTGGAACATTTTTAAATTTATTTGAAACTAATATGTAAATCTTCCTTTTTAACTGTAAAATTTTGTGAAATCTACATACAGATCAGATATTTCAGATGAATATTGAATGCATAAATTGAGATATGTTTTGAGTGATAAAATACATCAGATTTCAAACTTAGTTTTAAAAAAGGTAAAATATCTCAATAATCAATTTTTACATATTGATTATATGTTGAAATGATAATATTTTGTACATACACTGTGTTGAGGACAATATACAATCATATAGGCTAATTTTAATCATTTATCTTTTAACATGGCTGCACAAAAATTTTAATTATATTTGTGGCTAGTATTATATTTCTCTTGGGTAGGGTTGCTGAAATCCCTTACTGATACATTAACAAGCAAACAAAAACAGGTTAACTTTCCTGGCACAGATATTAGAAAAATGCAAAACAATTTATTTTTGTCATTAGCCTCCAGTGGGAAATAGTGCACATTTACAAAATGTGAGTGTAGTGTAGCATAGTAAATAAATATATTCAATGGAATTAATATGTATACTGACACATTTCAAGGTTGTAGAAACACAAGTGAGAAGAGGTGATTCATGTGAAAACTCAGATGCATCTGGCATTAAAATGTATGGTAAACTAATGAGAATTTTAAATTTATTAAATGACAGTAATTCAAATTGAAATGGTTGTTTTTGCATTTATGTGCAAGATGTAGAATACTCTGCCATTTAACAGTTTTTAAAAAAGAGAAATTTCTTTCCAAATCCATGTTCTAGTTAAGTATTATATACTTCTATTTATTACCATTTGATAAGATATTAATTTTGTAAATTAAATTTAAGGCCCATCTGTTTAGTGAGAGATTTGCCCACTGGCTTGAGAGGAGCAGTGATTATTTTAAACCTTGACTCAACCACCAAATATAAATAAGTATCTTCTCAGTTAATATTTATCCTAAAATAATAGAAACGTGAGTAAAATCTGGAAGACAGGAAGGCTAAATAAAAGCATCATTTTCGGGGTCAGTGCTGTGGCGCAGTGGGTTAAAGCCCCGGCCTGTGGCACTGGCATCCTATATGGGTGCTGGTTCAAGTCCCAGCTGCTCCACTTCCGATCCAGCTCCCTGCTATGGCCTGGGAAGGCAGTAGAAGATGGCCCAAGTGCTTGGGTCCCCGCACCTGCATGGGAGACTTGGAAGAAGCTCCTGGCTCCTAGCTTCAGATCAGCTCTGGCCATTGCAGCCATTTGGGGAGTGAACCATCGGATGGAAGCCCTCTTTCTCTCTTTCTGGCTCTACCTCTCTCTATAATTCTGTATTTCAAATAAATAAAATAAATCTTTTTTTAAAAAAAGCATCATTTTCAGTATTTTTTCCCAAAATGAATCAAAAATACATATGGTGTTTTTCTTGAAGTATAAATATTATCTTTTAGACATTTCAAATTTTTTTGAATGAAATTACTTTACAAAAATCTTTTCATTAGAACTATACCAGATTTTGTTTGTTTTTGGTGAAACATGCTCCAGAATAATTTGGTTTGCTCTTTAATCATGCAGTTCTTTTGTAAAATATAAAATGGAGAGTCATAGTTTAATAATGTTCTAGATCCAAAGATAACCGAATTATTTTTAAGTGAACAAAAACTTAACCTCTTTATGGAAACAGTATAAATATCAATCATATTCCAGTTATCATTAATTATAGAAAACAGCAGAAAATAGAGAATTAATGGTGAAGAGTATGAGAAAGAGAACTTATTTTCAAAATTGGATGGAGGGTGTTTGTCAGTCTCAGCACTACTGACATCCTGAGCTGGGCAATTCTTCATTTGGGGCTGGGTACATTTCTGTACATTTTAGGATGTGTAGCATCCTCTCTACCACTAGATGCCTGTAGCACTCCTTCCCCTTATGACAACCAAAAGTGTATCCAGACATTGTCAAATGCCCCCTGGGAGGCAGCATCATCCCAGGAGGAAGTTACAACAATTAGGCAACTATTGCTGTAGCCTTTGCAACCTTTGGTATAAGTATTTCATAATAATATTGACCGTCATTATTATTTGGGTATTTCTTGTGCTAGTGCATATTTAGGAACTTCAATAACTTAAGGAAAATCAAAGGGGTTGACGTGGGCTTTCCTTAGCTTAGGCAGCCCACAGTGTCTTCTCAAGGCAGCCCATAAGCGTGGGGTCTGTAGAAATCATCGGTGGGGGAAGGGTGGCAGGTCAAATCCCGATGGACTTGGGTCAGGAGGGTAAGTCAGACAAGCAGGATCAGTAAAGGATAGGGTGACCTTGGCCAGCGGCTGGTTGGGGCCCTCCAACTTCCTGCTATACCTTCGGATTCCCAGACTGCATGCCCTCTTTCTTTTCTTGCTGATAGGAGTGTGCCAGTGTGAGAAGTGTGAGAAGTCAGGCTTAAGGCATTTCTTTGGAGGAAGGAAGAGATGGTGATCTGAACTGGACACATTAATTTACTGATCTCTGTCAATGTACACTCTTCCTGTGTTTGTAATCTTTTTCCTTTTAACAAGATTTTCCATCCTACTTCCTGGAAAAAATGTAAATGGTAACGTTCTGAGGAGGAAAAAGATGGGGTTTGCTAGGGAAAGCATTAGAGAGAAAGTCAGTCATACTACTCAGAAAAGGGGACAGAGGCTCTCCTCTCCCAGAAGACAGGTGTAGGAGTAGCCAGTTCTAGTCTGCAAGTGAGCCACAGACAGCAGCTGCACCACAGCCTGGAATGCAGGATGCTCTTGCAGGTTGGAAATGGGTCTAATAGAACTGTCTTAGAGGAGATGAAAAGGAACCGAAGTTAGTGAAGAAGCTGACCCGTACTGAAGAGTAGGACCAGACTTGACATCTGGATTAATGAGATGTGTTTCAGGCAAACTAAACAGAACAGCGAAGAATAGGTCTGAGCAGAAAAGCTATTTGTAGGGACCAGAGCCCTAATGACCTCAAGAAGGGGCAAAGCTGAGAATTGTTCTCTGTACTGTCTGACCAGAGCCCAGGGAGGAATATCTGGGAAATAGCCATTAAAAAAAGTCTTTCCATTTATTGAATAGGATCTTGGTGTAGACTCCAGCAGTACAAATATAGCTGCAAAATTTAAGTTAAATTGTTTATAAATGGAAGGCATGACTACTTGTGCCACACCCGGGGATGTGAGTGAGAAGCAATCTCTGAAAAGGGAAAGAACTCCATGGGGTGCGACCTGTGTGTCCTGTGGACCTCCAAGGTCCTGAGGCCCCGCGGCCCCGCACAGCCCAGCATCCTGTATGCTCTGCGGAGGCAGGTCTGACACCCAGGATCACACAGGACCAGGACCACGTGGGCCCCTGGCGATGTCTTGTCAACCCAGCTCATAGGCCAGTATGGGTTGCCTGGTGGGCTAGGCATTGAAAGCCCCTGGACAGAAGACTAAGGGCTGATCTCATTTATTGTATAACATACTTTTTTCTATTTTTAGAAAATTTCTGGCTTCCTCAGTGTTTAATATTTACAGTTCAGCCTAGTTTGTTTACATATGTGTTGTACTTGGCATTAGAATACAGACCAACAAAGCTGGAGTTTGAGGTGGGGAGGTGTAGGTCTTCTAGAAATACCACCCAATGAGAAAAGCCGGGCTTTGTGTTCTGTCTCCCTCTTAAAGACAGGTAAACAGGAACTCAGGAGAACAGCAGTTGGCAGCTGAGAAAGAAAATCCCATGCAGAACTTGGCAGGGCAGGGAAAGGGGAGTTGGCTTGGTACTAAGGGATGATCCTGAGAATTTAAGTGACTGAAGATGCTGGGATAGAATACCTTGTGGAAGTGAAAGTCTGTTTGGTTAGTGACCTCAAAAAAACATTTTAGGATGGAGAGAGAATAAAGTAGTGTGAAGAGATGGGCTGGTTGTCATTGAGGAGATGGAAGCAAGAGGCTGGATGTTTGAGGGTGGGAAATAAACCTAGGATGAGAGATAGAAAAACCTAGAATATATCTATGTTGATTGAATATATCAAGTAGCTGGATACTCATGAACAAGGTGTTCATTTTTAGTAAGAAAATAAGTAATGATCAATTTTGTTGAATGTGTATAACCTTCTTAATTACAGCAAGAAGTAGAAAGAAAGAAGATTGTTGGGTCAAGAAAAAAAATTAATGCTTGGAGAACCAACCAGTCATAATATAAGTTACCTCAGAATGCATTTGAGGCCAATGCTTGTCAAATGATTATGATAAGGTTACCAGTGATAAATCACAGGGAGTAACTCCCATGCCTTTTCCTGAAGTTACTAACTAGTTGAACTTGTCATGATTTCCTGGACCTCTCATCCAGGATTCCTTGAGTCAGAGAGGTATAGGGTCAAAGAAATTACAGGGTACAGAGGGTGGTGTGTGGTTAAAGGGCCATGTTTTTCAGGCATAGAAGTCTGTATGAGAATCTATTATACTCACTTTCAATGCATATGATGTCATTATTGAACCAAAGTGCACTCTGATGAGGCAAACTACCTATGAGATTAACTACTTTCTTCATCAAGTGGGAATTACTTACTAAGGAAATATGGACTGAATTTACACATATAGTAGAAAATGAGCTTTCTATAATCCCTATACCTGTTGAGTCATCATTAAACAGAACATGGACGATACTAGTTGGATGACAAAAAATATATTCTTACCTGGCACTGTCTTTGGTACATTTTCAGTTCTTGCAGGAGCTTCTGATTTTCATCTTGTAACTTATTCCTGCTTAGTGCTATTTCACTCACAGCTGATTTTAGTTTGGCAATAATGAATTCATCTCTCTCATTGGTTTCACAGCTGGGATCTGGGTCACATATCAAGCGAGGAATTTCACAGCTGCTGTCTTCTATGCTCTGTGCTTTACCATCTAGTTGAGTTTGGTAACTTTGTGCCTGTTTCTGAGAAATGTAAAAACTCTAAATTCAATGAAGAATATCACATTTAAGCATTACATGAATGATAGAAAACAACTGGCAAAAACTCATTTAAGTATGTTACTATATAGGAAAGGTTGGCCTTTTATAATAAAGTCTCTCTTTGTTATGAAATCTCAATTAAATGGTTGAAGTGAAAATATGCTTGTATAACATTGAAGCAAAGATCTAGAGCATGGAAAGGTCTACAGATTGGCCAGTTTTATTAAGCATGAATGAAAGTCTAGAATCTGTAAAAGAAGAAAATTATGAATTCAATTACACAATAGTTGAAAAATGTCTCTCTGATTTAAAGCAAAGGAAAACAGAAACAACTGGATTATGGAGAAACAGCTGTGAAGGCAATAACAGGCGTTAATCATTGCTAATGTACAATAACTTCTATATATCAATAAGAAAAAGACAACACTGAAGAAAAATGGACAGAATATATGGAGGCAATTCACAGAAGAGGAAATGAAAAAGGCTAAGAAATATGAGGGCATCGTCAAAAATTGTGTATTATGAAAACACTTTGCATAGATTTTGATTTTTGAATTGAAATATATTTATCTTTTCATTTTTCACATGCTTTTGAAGTCTCTCATATAAGAAGAGGTGATTAGTCTTTTACAAGTTTGGTCAGCAAGTCAAACAATCCAAGATTCTCTTAGGACATTGTCCATAGGCATGCAAAAGGTGTTGTCTAATGACATAATGACAATGACATTTTAAAAAGCATCATCCCTTGAGGTATGTAGACTAAATTCACTATCACAGATAGTTCATGAACTGGTGACTATACCCGCTCTACTCTACTCATTTTCACTTAGTTAGCATTTCTATCTGTAAATAGATTCCATGCTGAATGGCAAAGACACCAGTATGTAACTTTACATTCAGAGGTTATTATTAAGTAACATACCTGGAATTGATTACACTTCTCAGATAATAATTTTTGCTGAGCATCTAAAGAAACTAGGTGAGTCTGATATAGTATCTCTTGCTTATCCCATTCTCTTGATTTTGCTCTAAATTCCTTTTAAAAAATGGGGGGAACAAAGATAAATTGAAGAATATTATTCATTGTGAAGCACAATGAATAGGGTTTCTTTTATTTACACCTTCATTCAGAGGGGACTAAAAAGTAAGTCCATTCTTTGCCTATTAGGAAAATTATAAAAATTAAGTATCAAATCATTCATATTGGATTTATTAGTCTTCTAATTTTTGCTAGGAAAATATGGAATTTATAACTTAGTCCTTGTACAAAAAGCATTAAATATTCTATTTACTAAAAATATTGTAAGTTCCTCTGAAAATTGCTATTAATAAGCTACCTTCCAAACATCTTTTTTCTTCAATTAATTACTTTCATTCTATTTACTCATACCGGAAGTTTTTTCCCTCCTTCCATTCTCTACAATCAGTCGTTAAACTTGTTCCCTTGCAAGGATAGGGAATGATAATGCCCATGAAACCATTTGGTCTGGCTCTGCCAAGGCAACTGCTTTCGGGACTTGAAATTCAGTAAGTCTATAGCAGGCTAATTTTTAAGTTGATGATTTTGTATGGCCTGTAAAGGATGTTATAAATATGCAAATAGCTCTTAGTAGAAAAAAGGTTCTCCAGCCCTGTATAGAGCTTAGATTTTGCCACTGCTTGGACTGAATATTTGTGTTCCCCCATCCATGCTCCAAATCCATGTGTTGAAGCCTAATTCCCATATGATATTATTTGGACTGGGGGCCTTTGGGAAATGACTAGGCCATGTGAATGGAACCCTCATAAAGATTAGTGCTCTAATAAGAAGAGATATGAGAGAGTTTTTTTCTTTTTCTCTATATGAAGATATAAGGAGACAGCCATCTATAAACCAGGACGAGGGCCATCACCAGAACCTAATACTCTGAACTTGGACTTTCAATTTTCAGAACTGTGAGAAATAAATGATTGTTGCTTAAGTCGATTTGTCCATGTTATTCTGTCACAGCAGCCTGAACTAAGATAGTGATGTGGCTTTCAAAGTTTTGTCCAAGTCCACTCAATCTTGGAAACAGAAAAACCATTTGAGGTCTCATGCAGGGAGTATCAGTTGGGTTAATCTGGGAAAGAAGAAGTGGCACTAGCTTTATAAAGCACATACAGTTCTTTGACTTTTTTCTGAAGTAGTACAGTCACAGAGCATGATTATCACTTCACGACTTAGTAACATGAACAAAAGGCATCGTACTGGGGATACCAAATAGAACTTCACTCCTCAATGTTTCCTAGGGCTGGCCATTCTTGTCATTCTGTCCAGGCTTAAGCAACTGAATGTGAAGGGCTGTGTATTTTATTACTTTCAGATTGTTCACAGCGCTTGATAGAGTGCCAGATACTACTTGTGTTCCATGAATGCACAAACAAAAGCATAGTATTAACATCTCCTGGAATTTAAACATTTCTCACTAGACTTTTCAAAGAAAACAACATGGCTGAAAGTAGACTTTACAGCTCCTAAGTTCATGACCATATACTGGTGATGTGCTGTGAACACGGTGTAGATGTATTGATGTTTCCAATTATCAGTTCAGTAGAACTTATTGAGTAACTGATGTCCACCAGGTACTGTGAAGAGATGAAAATTCAGAACTATTCTATAAAAAGATTTTTGAAAGGAAAGAAAATCAAGGAATACATAATAAAGGAGGGAAGTGTACACATGAAAGCAATTTTACAGTGTAAGTACAATAATATTGTTACATAAAAGCCATGCAGATGATGCTGTGATTATCTCATCTATTTCCTACAATATGTTAAATTGGAACATAGTTCATTTGGCCAGAGTGATTTGTATTCTTTTGAAGAGGGCTGAAATGACTAGATTGGTTATTCTGGAAAAGAAACATACTAATGTAGATAATAAAAGCTACATCTTGCTTAAAATGAGAATAACATAGTATTTAATATTTTCTAGACAGAAATGATTTTTAAAAACATTTGGGTATATTTTCATTTATAATCCACAAGTCTCCAAATAATCAATGAAGGCAGGCTATACATTAGGAAGCTGTTAGGGTAATTAACATGACCTAAAATTGAGGGATGATATATATGGTTGAAGAAATAAGAATAGAAATCCAAGGGCTAGCACTGTGACATAGTGGGTAAAGCCACTGCCTGTGGTGCCAGCATCCAATATGGCTACTCCACTTCCAATCCAGCTCCCTGCTAATGCACTTAGGAGGGCAGTGGAGAATGGCCCAAGTTCTTGGGCCCCTGCTGCCTAGGAAGAGGCTCATGGCTCCTGGCCTCAGCCTGGCCCAGTCCTTGCTTGCTATTGTGGCCATTTGGGGAGTAAGCCAGAGGATGGAAGATTCTCTCTCTCTCTTTCTCTCTCTCTGTAAGTCTGCCTTTCAAAATAAATAATTTTTTTTTTCAAAAAATGTAGACCTCCCTTCTAAATATATGAGACTGTCTTGTGATGTACACTATCTTTACAAGGATAAATGAAGGCAGTCCTTTAAAATTAATTGACTTCGTTTCTGACATCCAACAATATAAAAACTGGTACAGGAAAACAAGATCTTCAAGTAATAATGCCAAGGTTACAAAATTAGGCTCAGGTAGAAAACAGGTAAAGTTTTCCAATAAATGTGGTCTAGATTTGAACATTTCTACTTACTTTTTATTTAGAAAGGAATCTTTGTAGCAAGATGTCAAAATTTGGGCAAGATTGACTTATGCACTTAGTTTCTTTTAGATAATACAAATACTCAATGTCACCTACCCAACAACCTCAAATAATGCTGAAAATAAATATCTCCTAAAAGGCTAGAGAGAGGCCGGCGCCGCGGCTCAACAGGCTAATCCTCCGCCTAGCGGCGCCGGCACACCGGGTTCTAGTCCCAGTCAGGGCGCCGGATTCTGTCCCGGTTGCCTCTCTTCCAGGTCAGCTTTCTGCTATGGCCTGGGAGTGCAGTGGAGGATGGCCCAAGTCCTTGGGCCCTGCACCCCATGGGAGACCAGGAGAAGCACCTGGCTCCTGCCTTCGGATCAGCGTGGTGCGCCGGCCGCGGCGGCCATTGGAGGGTGAACCAACGGCAAAGGAAGACCTTTCTCTCTGTCTCTCTCTCTCACTGTCTACTCTGTCTGTCAAAAAAAAAAAAAAAAAAAAAAAAAGGCTATAGAGAGAGACAGGAGCATTAACCTCCACTTCTTACAAATACTACAGCATGAATAAATGAGGTGGGCATCCCTGCCTTCCTTGGTCTTATTGACATCTGTCTTGGTCTTATTGACGTCTGTAGTTTCCAGACTAGAAAACCAGCATAATGTATCTAGTAGCCTGGAACCAGGAAGAAACCTATAGGACTTCACAGGGTTTTGTGGAGACAGGAGTTGTCAGCCTAGGTTTTGAAGGTTGGTAGATTTCCCTAGAACTCCAGAGTAAGTTCTCCGTGGCTGGCAATCCTTTTCTGGCTCAGGGTCATTAAAATTAGAGTTTCCAGAGATACACAGAAAAATACTTCTGTTAAAAGTGAGGAGATGGTCTTTGGTGATTACTATGCAAGTATGTCAGGGACTCTACAAACCTCCACCTGTAGGAGATTTTAAACTTTTTATTATGAAAGTTTTATACTCACATAAAACAAGGGAGTAAAACAACCCCTGCCCCATGTGTCCTTTGCTGTTTAACTGCCACTGACATAGTCTATTTCTCCTTATCTCTTCAACTTTTTTTGTTAGAATATGTTAAAGTGACTTCCAGACCTCATATATTTTCAACCTTAAATGCTTCACAGTGTGTGTGTGTGTGTGTGTGCATTTTTCTTCCAGAGCCACAATGTCACCCAACAGATACTTTTAACTCCATCTACTGATGAAAAACAAGGGCATTTCTGTGAGGCTTACAACCTTGCCCAACAGTCATGGGGCAAATTAATGCACTGGTCAAGGCCTGTTTTATGTTATAAAGTATCATGTACTTCCACTACTACAGACTTCCTCCTGTATTATTCCAATGTATAAATGTTTGTCCCGAAGTAAAAACACTTTAACAGGGGTCAGTGCTGTGGCATAGTGGGTAAAGCTGCCACCTGCAGTGCCAGCATCCCATATGGGCACCAGTTCGAGTCCTAGCTGTTTCACTTCCAATCCAGCTCTCTGCTATGGCCTAGGAAAGCAGTGGAAGATGGCCCAAGCCCTTGAGCCCCTGTCCCCGCACGGGAGACCAGGAAGAAGCTTCTGGCTTCTGGCTCCTGGCTTCGGATCTGCACAGCTCCGGCCATTGTGGCCAATTGGGGAGTGAACCAGCAGATGGAAGACCTCTCTCTCTCTCTCCCTCTGCTTCTCCCTCTCCCTCTCTCTCTCTGCCTCTCTGTAAATCTGCCTTTCAAATAAAAATAAATAAATCTTCAAAAAACAAAAACAGAAAAAAAGAATCACTTAACAGTAAACTTTGATAAAAAGAGGTATTCATCTGTAATTATGTAAGGTAAATTGTAACTACATAGTGTTTAAAATTTTTTTGGATGGTACAAACATATCAAAGCAGATGTTGCCTCTAATTTGCACTATAATTTTTCCTTTTTAAAAATACTATTTATTTGAAAGGCAGAGTTAACAGAGAGAGAAGGAGGAAGGAGGGAGGAGAGAGAGGGAGAGGGAGAGAGAGAGAGATAAATCTTCTATCCACTGGTTCACTCCCCTAAATTAGGGCTGCAATGGCCAGGGCTGGGTCAGGCCAAAGCGAGGAGCCAGGAGCTTTATCCAGGTCTCCCACGTGGGTGGAAGGAGACCAAAGACTTGCGCCATCTGCTGCTGCTTTCCTAGGTGCAGTTGCAGGGAGCTGGGCTGGAAATGGAGCAGCCAAGACTCAAACCCATATGGGATTGCCAACACGGCAGGTGGCAGCTTAACCCACTGTGCCACAGTACCAGTCCCATCCACTATAATTTCACAAGACATGTTTTATGTAAATATTTAGTTCCCTAAATTTAAGTTGTGCACAAAGTACTTAATAAAAATGTAAAGCTGTTCTTTAAAATACATATATGAATGTGGTTCTCCCACAAAATCCCATAAAAAGTCAACAAAATGTGTATCTGTGTGTGAAGTCAGCTCTGTTGGTGAGAGAACATGCATATTGCAGTATACATGTCTGGACATCTTCTATGAGACCAGCCCGTTTTTGAGGCTAGTCTGGTTATATCAGAGCAAGAGCCAGGGAGTAGGAGTGCCAGCTTACTGAGACTAATTTTGTACCCAGAGAAGTATACAGAGGCACAATGGGTGAAGCCGCTGCCTGCAACGCTGGCATTCCATATGGGCACTAGTTCATATCCAGCGGCTCCACTTCTGATCCAGCTCCTTGGGAAAAAAGAGGAAGATGGCCCAAGTGCTTGGGCTTCTGTACCCATGTGGAAGACCCAGAAGAAGCTCCTGTGTTTCCCTCTCTCTCTGTAACTCTGCATTTCAAGTAAATAGATAACTCTTAAAGAGAAAACTGTATTATTTAGTAGAATGTAAAATTTGCAGTATTTTTAAAGATAACACCCAAGAGCTCTTGAAATAGCCTGAATTTAAGGCTGTGATCCCAGGCTTTTTCTTTCTTTTCCTTCTTTCCCTCCCTCCCTCCCCTCTTCCCTTCCTTCCTCTCTCTTGCTTCCTTTTCTGATCTTCAAGGTATTTTGCCCGAGGACTGTTAATTGGAGAGTAAGAAGATGCAGTATGAAATGTGGCAATGACAACTAGATAGGCGATGAGAGGCAAAGGGAAGATCTGGACTAGAATACACGAAAGAGAAAGGAACAGATCAAAGATCGCATAGAGGTGTCCAGCTTGGGTGATGGCGGGGCTATTGCCTATCAATGAGGAGGAGAAAGTGAAATCACTGGCTGGGGTGGAGGGTGCTGGGGTTTAGGGCTCGAAAGGAAGGAAACCGAGTGGCACAGCATAAAAGTCTACTTGAGGCCCATTAAAAATCATAACTGAGCAGCCCTGGAAACTCGGCTAAGGTTAGATAATAGGAAATTACAGTAGACTCCATTTGCGATTCCATGACTTGAAGCAGGAACACCAAAGAGCACAGGAGAGGAAATGGGCTGCTTTGTTTTTTCCAAAGTTGGAAAGCGGAGGGGTCAAGAGTAAGTGCACCCATGACACCTTTTTAGAGTTCCAGAGTTGAGAAGTTCTTGAACATGTCGGGCAAGTTAATTGGACTGGTACTGTGCCTTTAAAGAAAAAAACCCTGCAACTTCAAGCCCTGCTCTGAAGAGGGTATGAGGCTTCATTGGGATTTAAGTACCTAATAGTTAAATGGCCATTAAAAGATTTATTAGATATTCCCTTTAACTGACCCCAAGGGTGTCCTTCAATTTCACTCAACAGCTGCAGTTTCTTTGAACTTTTTTTTTTTTTTTTGGCTCTCCCAAAATGCTGATATATATATAAAAGATGTATAAATCAAAGTGATGCTTTAATTCACTAAGTGCCTAAAAGGAAAGGTGCACTAAGACAATATATTCAGTGAGAAGTTGACTTGTATGCTGTTTGTTACCACTGCTGTACAGGCCACTGTGTAGCTAGAAACACATAGCCACAGCCATGAAAGCAATCCTTATACACATGAAGAAACTAGGAACTGGATCTCACCTCCAATTTCTGGTTCAAATTGCTCATTTCAAAGGACATTTCTTCTTTGTGTGGCAGCTCTTGTCGTCGAACTTTGTTTTGTTTCATCTGGTGCAATCTCAGTTTTTCAAAGCTATTTGTTAGTTTGGAAAACTGCAAATAATAGAAAATACTCATCTTTTACTATTACCAGTTATTCTAACTTGATTTCACCATATTTCTTTTCTTGTGTACCTCTTTGGAAATGTAAGTCATGATTAGAAAGTGCAGTTAAGCTTAAATGTTCCAATTAGTGAAGATGGAACCAGTTATTAAAATTAAATTATTGAAGCTGAACATGATTCAGCTTTCATGTAAATTTGGGACTTCATTAATTGCACAGTTAAACAATGATTCACCTCATAAATGTTTTGTTCAGTTTTGTTTTAACCATATGTAGCAAAGCTCAGAATTGGAAAAAAACAGGTTCTTTTCTTACTTTTATTTAGTGCCATCTTGTGTTGACAATTTTAATTTCAGTAACTCAATCTATAAAATAACTAGCTTATATATTTTCCAAGAAAACTAGACATTTAAGACACGAGCTATGTCAAGTATATATTCACGCTGATATAACTTTAAAATTATTTACATCTAAAAACTGATTAAATTATTTTCTTACTGGTAAAACTTTCAATAACGGAGATGTTGTATTTTTCCCCCATTTCTTGTTCTACCTTTAAATAATAGATTAAAAGCAGCATAGTGTAGCAGCATCTGTGAGGAAACTTCTCTCTGCTTTCGGAAGTTTTTTGTTTATACTTTCTATGCTGAGATAATTATAGGCTCACAGGAAGTCACAGAGTCACTACAGGGACATTCCAGGTCCTTTTCACCCCATTTCCTCTGATATTTACATCTTAGTGAACTAGGGTATAGTATCAGACTCATGAAACTTAATATGTGTATAGCTGTATGTCATTTATCATGTGTGTGAGTCTGTGTGCCCACACCACAACCAAGATGTGGAGCTATTCCATCCCCACAGAGATCTCCTCCCTTTAACATCACTCACACCCCTCAAACCCCCGTCACTAATTTGTTTTCCACCCCTATAATTGTGTTATTTTAGGAATGTCATAAAATGGAATCATACAGTATATGACCTTCTGAAGATGGATTTTTTTTTCGCTCAGCCTCCCTTGAGACTCGTGAATATATCAATTCTTCATTCCTTTTTATTACTGATAATAGTTCATGGTATGAATGTACCATAATTTTCTAAACATTCACATACTGAAACATTTTGATTGTTCTCAGTTTTTGGCTATTACAAATAAAGTTAGGAACAACTGTCTATACTGTAACTGATAGTAAATTTTTTTTGTAATTTCTACTGAGATATAATTCACCTACTATAAAGTTCACATGAATAATATTCCACTGCATGGATATACCATATTTTGTTTTCCATTTATCAACTGATGGTCATTTTGCTTGTTTTCATATTCAGATATCATGAATAATATTGCTGTGAACATCTGTGCACAAGTTTTTAAATGGATATATGTTTTTACTTTTCTTGGGCGAATACCTAGGTGTGGAACTACTGCAACATATAGGAACTGTAAATTTAACTTTTTTAAAGAACTAATTACAAGTTAACATTTATATAAACCTAACATAGGGGCAGTGTGATGTAAAGGGCAGAAACTGTAAAAAAAGAAATCAACTGGTTTAATCATTTACAAAATGCAAACCTGCATAACAAGCACCTTAAGTGAAGCCAAGAGATAAACTGAATATTTTATCATAGACCAAAGGCAAAAAAAAAAATCCTTTGTATGATTATATAGACAGATGTTGCAAATTAAGAAATGCCAAACTACCTCACAAAATGGCAAAAAGCGATAAGCAAGTTTCAAAGGAAATACAGATTAAATAGACATTATAGCACTGATCATAACAGTGAAAAGCTAGGAACATATGAAATAATAATAAGCAACCAACTAAATAAATCATGGTATACATATCTATACCTCAGAGTATTATATAGTAGTTTAAAAAGACAGTAATGTGTTTACTGCTAGGGGATATGCATCCACAAAGATCGACATGTAGATTTTAACTTTCATAAAAAATTACATATAGTTTAATAAAAAGGGGTATCAAAAGAAAATTATCTCTATTTGAGACTATAAATACTTAAAATTTTATTTTCTATATTTTCTTTATTCTGTAATGAATTAGTTTTGTAATGACAAAGTATTAAAAATTAGTTTCAACAATAAAACAATAAACATATTAAAATTTCTAGCAGCAACTTTTTTTTCTTCTCCAATTCTTTGGAATTCAAAATTTTTAATTTCTTGACCTAAATATATATCAAAAAGCATATATGTATATATCCCATTTTAAAACTCAAAAACCAAAAACTCAAACACCAAAACTCCATAATCTCTTGCAGTAAGGGGAAAATCCTCATTAGGACAGAACAGCAAAAGCTTGCCGTACCTTCTCTTGTTGGGGTTCTAAAAGTAAGTAAATATACACTTCAACTGTGAAATAGCAATGATTTGTCATTAAGGCCATAGGCAATAATGCATTTAGTATAATAAACTGGAAAAATGATGTCATCAAATTGTCTTAAACATTACATGTTAGGTCATTATTCATATTTTGGATAAGAATAAAGATGAAAAATTCTTTCCTCTCACCCCTATCTTCATACTACTGTCACACTTGTTATCTATCAAATTTTACTTTCAAAGCCAGTTTACTTATTCAAAATTCTACCTTATTTTTTTTTTTGACAGGCAGAGTTAGACAGTGAGAGAGAGACAGAGAGAAAGGTCTTCCTTTCGGTTGGTTCACCCCCCAAAATGGTCGCTACAGCCAGCGCGCTGCACCGATCAGAAGCCAGGAGCCAGGTGCTTCCTCTTGGTCTCCCATGCAGGTGCAGGGCCCAAGGACCTGGGCCATCCTTCACTGCACTCCCGGGCCACAGCAGAGAGCTGTACTGGAAAAGGAGCAACCGGGACAGAATCCGGCACCCAGACCGGGACTAGAACCCGGGGTGCCAGTGCCGCAGGTGGAGGATTAGCCTAATTAGCCACAGCGCCGGCAAAATTCTACCTTATTAAACAATATCCAGTTTTGCAATTTTCAGGTGTTATAAAATTAAGCAAAAGCAAAAATCCATAGGCAAAGTATATTTTTTCTTTATCTTCTCCAAGAAAAGTTATAGCTAAGCAGTTAATAGAGTTCTGTTCAAATCTATTCTAACAAAAGAAATTGTCAAAACATTTTCACCATAAGCAGTTTGAATTCAACTATAAATTTGTCATTTTCTCTATTCAGTTCATCATGGAAAAGTTTATGAAAATTACTGAGAAAATAAAAGATGGAAGGATTGAGGGAAACATTTGCAGAAAGAATAAGTGTTAGCATCAGCTAATGTCACCAGGGAGTATATTCCATCTATAGGAATCCATTGATGGTTTGACAGTGCAAAGTTTCATAACATCAGAAATGAAGGGTTGGTTTCATGAGCTGTTAAAAATAGTCTGTTAAGGAAATGTATTCATCTGCACAAAGACCCCTCTGATGTTCTTCCACAGATTCAAAATCTTTTATCATCAGTCATTTATCAGATTCTGCAACTGCTGTGGGAGCATCCAACTAACAAAAGCCAAAACTGAACACTGATATTAGCAATAGTTTACTGATGTTTATGCTGCAAATCTCATATTTTCTAATAATAAAATTTTGCACAAGAAGTTGGAATTCACAAAGCTAACTATGTTTTGCTGGAAATCTTATAATTACACTACTTTCACGAAAAAAGCTGTCTAGTAACATAAATTGCTATGCATCAGTTCCACAAACAAGACAAAGACCTAAAACATCCGAACTGTGCACAGAGCCATACTGGGAAGCAAACTGGTGATTTCAGTACAGTATTTTGCAGAATGGGTGCTGAGCCAGGAACTTACAGGAGACTGGTGGTGACCATTAGCCTGGTTATTAATGCTATGAGACCAAAAAGCACTGGTTCTCCCTCATTGGTGAAAGAGTGATGATTTTTCAGGGAGGCATGCCAATAGCAGAGGGATCCATCTTCAGAACAGATGGTCTGGGTTCGCTGGGTGAGAGTTATCTCCTCTCACTTTGGCATAAAGGGATAGTACCTTGTCTAACATCCCAGATACTCAATGTAGCAACCTGACCACTGGTAGCTACAACATGCTTCTGGTTGGGATGTCTATATACATACCAGTCAGTGACGGTATCTGAGAGGGCTCATTTTCTTGTTGTCTGGAATCCCGTGTTTTTAGTTGTCCAGGAGAATTTACCCTAAGAATCTCAGTAGTTCAAAGGAAGGTTGTAGCATAGAGGGTACCACTATCTGCATTGTCTAAGGTTCTTAGAGCAACTAACTCTGAGGAGATTTATTTGACCATCCTCTCCAGTCATGACAATTTCTGGATTGTGATACACAATCCCTGTGCAAGATGCTCTGCCAAAGTGGAGACAGCTGGGACCTGTGTGGTGGTGAGCTATTTACTGGTGGTTGACAGACAGTCTGGTTATTCAGATAGTGAAGGAAAACCATTACACATGCTGTTGATGAGGCAGCTGCAGTCACCTCCTGGTAATTGGAAATGCATGATATCATCATGGTGTCTGAATTCATGCAATAATTGATAGACTCCTTCAAACCCTCCGACAGAGTCTGAGTTTCTAAAGATCTCCAACAGACCACAGTGGAACATAATTGCCCTCATTGTCCCAGAGCTCATAGGGATGGTCTCCCTGGTCTGCAGGCTTTCTGGAGGCATGGGCAGCTGGTGGGTTTTGCTGATTTTCTGACACACAAACTTCATGAAAGTTCCTCCATGCTGAAAGGTTCTCTTTTAGCTTTTCAGGAACAGCCAAACTGTTTTCCAAAGTGGCTGCACCATGTCCCATTCGCACTCACGATATATAGGGCTCCAACTTCTCCATATCCACACCAATACTTGTTATCGTCTATCTTTTTGATTACAGCTGTCCTAATGGGTATAAAGTGTTTCTCACTGTGGTTTCTATTTGCATTTCCCTATTGAACAATGATGGTAAGCATTTTTTCCTTTGTCTCCTTTGGGAAAATGTTCAAATCTTCATCCAATTAA